AACTTGACTCCTAATTATTCATATTGCAACGCGATTTTTGGATATTAAGGTTAATATAAAAAACAAATATGAATATCACCATCACATCAAAGAGAAGATAAAAGAAAAATGAAAAAAGAGGAAAAACATTGTTGGGGTGTCAATTCCTTAACCCATATATCAAACATTTACATATCAAACATTTACATACTAGTAAATAAGCTGTGTTTGTTCTAGGAAAGGTTGCATTCTAGAGGCCGATCCTGGGGAAATCTCTCAGAATCGATACAGTAATTGTAGATCATGTAGTTCTTCTGCACCAATTTCAACCTTTTTCGGCTGGTAGAATCAAGCTCTTGAAAGAGCCATGCATTGTTACCTGAGGCAGAAGATTGAGAATTGGAATTACAAGAAGATGCTCCATTGGACCAAACGCAAGCATTGGCATTGAAGTTCCTGTAAGAAGCTGTGAAAGGAGCTTGAGTCCAGTCTATCTTCACCAGACCACCCCTTGTAGCCCAGTCATCGGCATTCCACAAGCTGGAGTAGATCCTCATGGGCTGGCTTTTGGGAAAAGGAACACCTCTGGATTCCATGTTCTTGAACTCCCTGATGGGTGTACTGTCCACTGAGAAGCTGAAACAAAGCAAAACAGAGTTAAGTCAAAATCCCAATTCCCAAATAAAGAAAAGGAAATCACAGATTTGAAGTAACTGGTACTTACATAATCCGTTGGGGATTCCAGAGGATGGAATAGGTGTGAAAATCAGCAGTTGGGTCAAACCAGAGATAGAACTGCTGCTCTCTATTACCCTTTCCTTGGCTGAACACATTAGTATGAAGAATGTAGGGATCGCCACTCAGATTCCCCAAGAACTCGAAATCAATCTCATCCCACGTCGACCCTTTTGAGGATAACTGCATATTAAGAAAATTTTGTGATCAGATGGGAGAAAACTAAATTGATACACTAGGGAAATCTTAGCATTCATGCAGGGCAACTTACATAGTAGGCGGTGACTGTTCCGGCGGAGTTTCCACGGACAAGCATGAGCTGCATATCGATCTGGCAAAAGAGATACTCATTCTTGGATTGAAATCCAGAGCCAGAGGCCTTGTCCAGGGAGAGAGTCAGCAACTGGCCATTGTTTAGTATCTTTGCACGGCTATCTCCCCATGTTAAGTCAAAATCTTGGTAGAAATCACTTGCTGTGGCTGCCATCAATATAGAACTGACAATTAAAGCAATCAGAGGCACTATGGAAGCATTAACATTAGCCATTTAGAGATGAAGAGAGGTTACTCAACACTGTTAAGTTAAGCTGTAGGGACTTCAAGGATTTTGGGTTGGTATTTATAGTATATATAGGACTATGGGAGCGGAAAACTGAATATGGAGAAGTAGTAATCAAGAAATGGCTCAAATACAGCTGGTTACTTAAAAAATTGCAGATGATATGGATGTGAAAGTTTCAAGGTTGGCACTAATAGGACAGGCCCCAAGAGATACAGCTTCGTTGGTTTGTTTATACAGGGTTCAAGGGTTATTGTTTTGTGTTTTCAAGGGGAAAGTGCATGGTCATTACTCTCCAGTTCCTATAATCACTAGCCGCCTCTTGGATTTCATTTTCCAACAACTCCCACTCAGTTCCCTCCACCGCCACCAAGGACTAATGAGATTTTCTGAAAAATAATAAACTGTACAACTCATTTCAATAATTTTTATGATTCAATTTGTTTCATAAAGTATGTGTAAAAAAAAAAAAAATCAAATATCACAATACCATATGCTGAGGTTGTAAGTGAGATGTATAAGAAAAACCAATGTTGGTGCCAAGATGTTGCTAAGTATCAGAGAGCATTATTATTTATAATTAATTTGGAGTTTGCTTAGATGAAAACTGGCTAGCATCCATTTCAGGGATAGGCAAGTGCCAACTCACACAACACCACTAACAAAACAAGCTCACTAATTTCTGCAACTTGGTTTTTATTTCCAGTGGTTAGAAGAGTACAAATGATATTTAATTATGGTTTTTATTAAATTATTATAAAAT